CTCCCCCTTCTTTTTCCTCCTCTTCCTTCTCCTCCTCCTCCTCCTTCCCCTCTCCTTCTTCTCCACCTCCTGCTTCTTCTCCTACTCCTCCTTCTGATCCTCCTCCTTCTCCTTCTCCTCCTCCGTCTCCTCCTTCTCCTTTTCCTCCTCCTCCACTTTTCTCCCCTAACTCCCACTGCCCCACGCCGTCGCTGCCGACCACTCGCAGCTGGTGAGTGCGCGTCACATCACTCGCATCTTCCTTACGTCCTCTTCCTACTCCTCCTCCTGCACTTTTACCCTCCACTGCACCGCGCCGCCAGCTACGTGCAGCTGGTGAGTGCATCCACGTCCCCCTTTACCTCCTTTTACTCCTCCTCGTACTCCTCTTCTTTCTTTTTACCTCCTCAACTTTCTTTTGTATGTGCCACTATTCGCCTATATGTGTTTCTTTTATGACTTCATTATATGCAGATCGTCAGTCTCTTGATCTTCTTTCTCCTTCTTCTCCTGGTCATTCCTTCTTTACTTTTTATTCCTCTTGGGTAGTCATGTGCATCGCATCATTCTCTTCGTCTTTAGCAGGATCTTTCTTCGCAGGATTCCCAAAAAGAATCATTCTCGTTCTCCGTCTTCTATTACTTTTATTTTACTTTCTTCTCTTTCTTTCCTTGCTTCGTCTTCTGCTTCCTTATTTTTTGAGTGTCATCTGATGACTTTAGGACTTTGTCCAGCACTGCTATTCCTGCTAATTCATTCTTACTTCTTAGACTTACTTCTTCCTTGCAAATATTAGGCTCGTTCCCCATCGCAATGTTGCAGTCTATCTTCTTTAAGATATTCCAGATTCTCAACATCCTCCTCGTTTCGTGGCTTGCTTTAGTGTTGTGGAAAGTTTCAGTTGCATGTAGCTGCTAAGAAGCATGCTGTTTTCTCGGGAGAAAATCAGCAAAACGTGTAAAGTTGTGTTTACCTTCTCTGTATCTATATATGCATTGCGGCTCAAAGTACTACATACGGAGTTTTATAAAATAGAGCTTAGCGCTGGAGCTGTAAGCTCACAATGCGCCAGCACTACTGGGACAGCGTCGTGTAAGATATGAGAGAAGGAGATGAATAACGATTTGATTTTAAAACTCGGAAGCTAAGCCAAGGAGAAACTAGAACTAAAATTAAAATATTTGTGTATATATATATATATATATATATATATATATATATATATATAGAGAGAGAGAGAGAGAGAGAGAGAGAGAGAGACATAACATCGTATTTTCATTATATCAAAGATCTTATCGAAGATCTCGAAGAGTATTTTATTGCGAACAACAACATTATCTAGATATCGTGGTACATTAAATCTTCAATATACACTTCCTGACAAAGAAAGTGATGCACCAAGTAGTACAATATTATCCCATTTTGGTATACATTCATACCATTGATGTGTGAGTAAATGATTAGATTCACACCTATCTTTAATGGGTAGAGACAGAATGCATTCATGATGTAACTTTCCTGTTGTTATGCAGTTGTTATCAGTCAACTACACTGAGCCAAACAGCGAAGAACGACGTTTACGTAAAAAGCACCTGCGATGCCACGCAGACGCGTTGAATAACCTATCCACCAATCGACTGCGTTTGACAGAGGGACTTTAAGAGGCATTGTGGGTCTTTACGGGACTTCATGAGGCTTATTAGTCGTGCAATTGCCAGGCGTGTGGGCAATTCAGATGTCACAGTGGGCAACGTTGGAATCAACAAGTACATGAGGGAACCCATGCACGTCGTGTAGGCTCGGGTGAACCTAGACACCTCCAGGGAGGCTCGTCGTATGGTGCGCCAAGCACTGCGGAGGCTCATGACGTCGGCAGCGCTCTCAATATCCGCGCGCGGCGATGGTGTAACGGTTAGCGTACCGGACTGTTGTTCCAAATCAAACGAAGCCGTGAATTTTTAAGGACGAAATAATCCGCCATACGCCTTCCTTCGGAGGGGAAGTAAAGCCGGCAAGCCCATGTTAGTAGATTTACTTGCATGTAAAAGATCCTTAAGTCTAAATGACGCCTTTGAGCTAAATTCATTCAAATCGCCTGTTTCTCGCCCGAGAAATACCTCCTTTCTCTGCTAGTTGGTGAAAGGAGCGTAGCGAAATTTGCGTGGTCAGGCGGAAGAGCAAGCCCCATGGCCTGAGTCTCTCCTCGTAAAATAAGGCATTAACTCAATTCAATTCAATATCCTGTGAGTTCCCGCACAGTGACTGGACAACTCTCACGAACCGGATTGGAGCACACCTCCCTCAGCGTCAGTTGCCACTGACACCAGAACACCGACGTCGGCGTCTGGATTGGGGCCGTGCCCGGCAGCGGACGAATGGCGTCGCACCATCGTCCCACATCACCATAACATCCGAGGACCATAGTGTTCGAATATGTCTGGCGTTAAGGGCAGAGGGAACATCATGCCGAAAAGAAGCGAGACACACAGTCGTTATCCCAGACATCATGATGTGAGGAGCAATCGGAAACGCGTTCAAATCACCTCTAAGACTGCTTTGGAAGATTTTGAATGCATAGCAATTCGTTACAGATATTTTGCATGAGGACGTCCTACCCTTTATGTCATAGTACCCTGAGGCAGTACTCCAACAAGCAGGCCCACACACAGCACATGTGTCTATTAACCCTAAAGCATGTTGAGTTTCTCCCGTGACCAGCAAGATCCTCGGATCTCTCCATCATTGAACACGTTGGCATGACATTGGACGGGTAGTCCCTCGCAGTTTCAACCTGCAGGATCTGGAGGAACATCCGCAACAATTGTGGATGAACTTGCGTCAAGAGAGGATCCAAAAGTTGTTTGACACCATTAAGAACCGCATAAGCACCTGCATTGCAGTCAGAAGAGGTGGAATAACGTACTGAACTCTCACCAACATCCACATGCAACAGCAAACGACCATGTCTCTTTCATCCCTTATTGTCATCTGTTCAATGAAGTCACTTGGTCTTTCAGCTGATTCTGTAGTTTCATTCACTTGCAACCCCTCTTTCTTGGTATATCACTTGATTTTGTCAGGAAGTATATTTATGTTCATTAATGAAATTTGCTTAGATGATATACCCGCATCAAGGTGCTAAGATGATTGCCAGATATGAGGGTTTAAGCCATAGAGACCTCCAGTTACTTCTGGGAAAACCTCGGCTGTTCTTTTCAGGAGTATTTGTAGCTCCATCTTTATTTCAATATTTTGTTATTTTCTAGATTGCCATTTCGTGACTGGAATCTGGATTTACCACGTTCATAAGCTATGCCAGTTACTCTGAAACGATGGAAACATTGGCAAGTTATGGTAATCGATTGTGTGCCTGAATGTTAAAGTCTGAGTACTGTTGTATCACAGTTTTCGACCACTTTCTCCAGATTGTGCTAGCCATCATTGATCATTAGTCAACAAGTCATATCTTTTAAGGATGTCAACCCGTGCCCAACCTCGTGACGAAACTGCCCACTTTTTTCAATAATAATAATAATAATAATAATAATAATAATAATAATAATAATAATAATAATAATAATAAGCTATAATGAAAATGTTCAAAGGAAATTTATTCCCCGGTGGGGAAACGAAACCAGATATCCCGGTACAGGTATCTTAGTTGTTCTACCGCTGGACCCAGACATTCAACTATTCGAACACGCTCTTAGGAGTAACTATATGTGTATTTCAAGCAAGCAGCGGTGACAAGGTGGTGAAATGCGCAATCGTAACGGTTGTTGCCGGTGGGAGCAGGTGCGCTCGCTGCTGCGCGCGGGCGCCGACGCGCGCGCGCGCGACCGCCACGGGCTGACGCCGCTGCACTGGGCGGCGTGGGCGGGCCACCGGCAGGTGGCGCGCGACCTGGTGGCGGCGGGGGCGGACGCGGCTGCCGCGGACCCCGCGGGCCGCACGCCGCTCTCCCTGGCGGCGGACGACGGCGACCCGGGCGTCCTGTGCGCGCTGCTGGCGGCCGGCGACGCCGGCGGCGCCTGGGGCTGCGCCTAGGCAACCTCGCGGCTCGTCCGGCCGCAGGGGCGACGCGACGCCAAATGGTGAGAGCGGAGGCTTCCGCGACCGGAGTCAGTATTTACTTGGCTGTCGGGGTGACGCCGCGTCCATGGCGAAGGTGCCGACATTTCGGTCGCCATTCTGCGACCTTCCTCAGGGCATTACGCCCATTCTGCGACCTTCCATTGCGTCGCCGCACGGCGTGGAGGCGGAAACATAAGCGTAACGCATAGACGGAAGCATTAGCGGAAGTGAAGTGGGAGCGGAGGCTTCCGCAACCGGAGTCAGTATTTACTTGGCTGTCGGGGTGACGCCGCGTCCATGGCGAAGGTGCCCACGTTTCGGTCGCCATTCCGAGAACTTCATTTATCGTCAGGGCATTACGCCCTGAGGAAGGTCGCAGAATGGTGACCAAAACGTTGGCACCTTCGCCATTGACGCGGCGTCACCCGGGCAGCCAAGTAAATAAGGCCACATGGTGTCCTAGGCTTCCGTGGTCAGAGTCATGATCTGCGCTGTCCTGTGACCGTGTCGAAGGCTGAGATGCCGACGCTATAACCATTATATCTTATTCTTCGGCAGTACAGCCCTGAAGGAGGCCAAGAAATGACGGTTGAAACGTCGGCATCTCAGACTTCTTCAACCGGACAGTTCACATCATGCAAAGCAAGTCGTATCCCCGGAGATAGAGATGTTCCTCACCGACTGGACCGTGAGATACGGTGCTAATTTACACACCAGCTCACGGGGTTTTCCCTTCTACATATCTCCGCCGAACAGGCACCTACCCAGTCGGAGCAATCTCTGTCTCTCCCTACTACTCTCCTGACATGTATGGTAGTATAGTGCATGAAAATATGTGTGTGTAATAAGAAAGGAGGAGACAAGAATGAGAAAAATCAAATCGCGTGCGGTTCATGGCCCGTTTGTTAGAATATTATTTCGACATTTGCCTGGTATTGACGAGAGAAACCAGGGAGAAATATCCATCAGAGCAGTGGTCCGATTCAATTCTCCTCCAGTCAGTGAGTGAATTCGCTATCAAGACAATGTCAAAAAATCTCCACCGACGAATCCTAGAACCTCCCGATCTTCGTAGTGGAAATATTCCGACCTATTGCAGACAGAGATATCTCAGCAGGTTCTAGGGGCGACGAACCATCATTTACAAATATTTTAAAAATACCGTGTCATCACTCTAGGCGAGGTCAACCTATCGTAAGCCTACCTTTGCAGCCAAGGTGATCTGGTTTAGCTCCTTTCTCGCACTATAGCGAGTTTTTACGGAGGCGCTCCCATCACTCGAGATGTAAAGACGGAGTGCATGCTGGAGCGTATAATGTAGCGTTTAATGTGCAATTCTGATTGTGAAGGCTAGGCTCAGACATCAAGGAAATACTTGTCAAGAAAATAGTTGTCGTATTCTCGTAATCTCGGATGACAAACTACATTATAATTTAAAAAATAGACCTATTTTTTCGAAATAGGGAATCAAAAACCATCGATTTTCTTTCAAAATACGCTTATCATTATGCTAATCATTACATTAGCAAACTTCTTCCAAATATACTGAAAATGTTATTCGTATATTAGTTTCCGTTTGTTCTGCCACATTGCATTTAGTCTTGAATCATCTAATTTTTACATTTGTTTTGTTTCAGGTACACTTGTATACATCTGGGTAATAACAACTGAATGCTGATATAAGTACTAATAATGAAGAGAAGAAAATAATGGAAAAAACCTTACAAAATGAGATTATATGGACTCAATGAAGGAGTGATTATTACTTTGACAAACTTAACCTATGTTGCAGGAACATCAGAGTACTTCTCAAGAAATGAATTTAAATAGTACTCGGTTTAGCGGAAAGAAATAAATTTCTCGGCTCCTTATTGCTACACAAAATACTATTGGTTTAGGTAATACAAATATCTTCCCAATATCAGAATGCAATCCTTTGTGTAAATTATTATTAACAGTATCTCAAATTAAATAAAGTTTGTGAATCATTATTTAAATTATAATTTTATGAGAAAATGTCATGAATAATATGGTGAGAATAAATTCTTATAAATAACAACAAAATGTATATTTTCTTGAATATGTTACATTATATTTTGGAAATAATAATATTAAGTGTTTACTCAAGGTGTAGTACTGATTTTTTCTTTATAAAATAAATTATTATAAGCTACCAAAATCTCAATTCATTCAAAATCACGTGTGTCCTAAGTTTTAGTGTTGTAAATGTTTGTGGTATGAGAATTAGTTAGTGCGTAGAAAAAGAAAACGATTTAAAACATCAAAAACTATGGAGAAATTGTCATTACTTTCTTTTTTGTTCTTTAACTTCCAATCATCGAATGCACAGATACCTGTTTCGTTCAATAAGGCACATTGCTGAAACTGCAATTATTTCTACAAATAATATTCCATTAAATATACAATTTACAACACATGTTGAATAATAAAGTTATAAATTCTTTGTTGTAATTATCTCTATAATACAATAGCAGTATTTATAAACCAGTAGCCACTTTTTCTGTGCGTATTATGCTTTTCCCAAAGGATTTTATTGATGCAACACGCAAATGAGCTGGTTTTCGAATGAGTAGATGTTAATTTGCAGGACTGAGATTAGATGGGCACGTCTGAATAAAAAACAATTTATCACGGATATGTCACGCCAAATTCGGTATCATCCGTGATTGATTCGCATGTATCATCTTCGCATTCACAACAAACGTTGTTTTCATTAAAGCGGAGGCCGAATCAAAAATGAGCTTTTTTCAATTTGTTCACCCCAGTGTCGTTTATCTGCAATTTAATGTGGGGATATGTGTAATGATCTCGCACCCATGTCGAGTTTGAAGCATCGAATGCCGTCAGATTAGCAAATCAACGTTTCGATATCCTCGACTACCTGTGTAGATGACATTGCGGATGAGTTATATCAGGAAAGTTAATTCTGCTAATCTCAAAAAACCAATACCTGAATGTTGGTTTAATTTTCATTTTGACTTTAAATATATTACATTTCGTAATGGGTGAAAAATTATCGAATACATTCATATTCATCTCAATTACGTAGACGGAATTAGTACGCAAGAATAATGCATCATCACAAGTTTCATGAAAATAAATAACTCGTCCTAATGGATTATGCCTAGCTATTCATACTTCAAAAGTTGTTCTCTAGTTTCAAAAGTTAGTTGAAAAATTTCTATAACATAATTTTTTTAAACATAATTATCACTCATCACTACAGAATATCTTACTAACTTTACGTTTAAATAGAATAAGGAATATATTCGGTAAAATACATGATAATGTATTCAGAAACACAAACGAAGCAAATTAAAGCTGAAAATATTAGCATTAGTATAGCCAAAGTTTGTGATTTCTTCGCAAATCAAAGTTTGCTAGCGCGCATGTCGGGAAAATTCCTCTGTCAGCATGATTGGAGACTTTACGGATAAACATGGATACAAAACATATGAAGTACACTTACCTTCGACTACGCACATCTAGTGATGTATAACTGTTTGTAGCATATCTAAGTTTCTTGTAAACAATAGCGCTATGGCAATAAAATTATCTAATATTGACGTAATTGATAAGAAATTAATTTGCGTCACGACAAAGTTTTCCTGTTGATATGGAATATAAAATAAACACTCTCGTGACTTTCTTTGATACAAAATGTCAGCATCAATCAAATCACAGATAAAAATTCATGAAGTTTGTGGACGGTCTGCAGATAACATTAATTTTGGTGATAATGTATTTCAATACTGTTTTCAGCAATGTCAAAAAATAATATTTTTAAATATTAAGAAACAAGTATTCAAGTAGTGGTATTTACATGAAAAGTATTTTTCGGGATGTACATTTAACTCGTAAATTAATAGTTCGATTTAATGAACGAAATAAGGGCTTAATATAAGACGATTATTATGATATCTGCATTAGCTCACCCCTATCTCATTAGGTATGTTGCTGCATTGGAAGATGAAGTTCTTCAGGTCTTTGGTTCTGCTTCTTCCTTTTAGTGGAATGAAATCTCCCTTCTGGGCGACTTTCTGTACTTTCTTTCATTAACAAACAGCGTCTTAATATACCGGCTAAGAAAAAATGAAAGAGATGGTTTCTACAATTCTCTCGGACTTAAAGCAATATTGTAACTTATCTACTTTCAGCTCATCGGTAGTATTCCCCAATTATCCAGACAACACATGAACACACGAAATGTCTCATAAACAGTAAGCAACCGTGGCGTGTTTGTTTTGTTATCTTTGTGGGAGGACAGTTAACTTATCTGCAGGTGTTCTTACCACTACAATACATGCGTATTAGAGTGTCACTGGCCTGTTTTGAAAAATTTGTATAATTACGTGAAATAAAAAAAGAAATTATCTGTCAATTGATGTCACAAAAAGTTGGCCAGATTTAATTATAGTTTTGAATTGATCATAAAACTTCTTGAGAAAATAAACACAACTTTATTTTAACAAACACAATAATTATAATTGAAATGAATTATCTTCTCCAATGAGTAATGACCAAAATAAATGTCTGATTTTACAACTATGGTTCATTATTCTGCGTTATATTATAATCCTCTTGTAGATATTGAAAGTCATTTTACATCGATTGTATAAAAGTTTTTCTTTCAAACGTGTGCACTTCAACGGTCATTTTACAAATATTTTTATACCACAAAATAATTTAATATTGTAGCACCAATAGTTAAGACGTATTTTCATTTTGTGACAGTATTTTGGATTTTTAATGTATTGTTTTCAAAAAACATAAACAAATGTAATATTTATCACTGCTCTCATACTAACCACATACGATACCCAAATCACTTCGCTAAATATGTGATAGATTGCCAGGTACCATCGTCGTAAAAGTACTTACGGTTTAACGTTCGAATACTCGTTCGTTATTGAAACAAAAATTACTTTCTCTGGTCACACGCAGTTGGGATAATCAGACTCAGTGAAAAGTTATGAATAATATAAATATCCAGTCAAGATACATTGATTGAAAATTGAAACGACTTAATAAAAATAGTATACTGTCCTTAAATATACATTAGTCAAAGCCAAAAAATTTAATTAATTAAGTGTCATGTTGTAAGAGCATAGGCATTTATTGATTCTCTGAATTTTAAATTGCTAAGTACTGCTCGATGGTAATTATTGGTTCTTTCTTTTGACATGTGACATTCCTTTCCTAACTATTTGAATTAGAAAGGAATTCAACATTAATGTATGTCACACTTCAGTATTTATTGGATATTTGGTGAAAAAATGTCTCTTTTAAGCTGTGTTATAATACATACACACATTATTTTCGCAAAATGTGTTAAAATATTTTGGATATTTCAAAAAGGGTATTTTCAAGTGTTTTTTGCTAATACGGTTTGTACGAACAATACTAAAACTTGCATAACAATGAATTGATGTCAAAACCGTTGTGTATAATGAGTTTATTGACACCAAATAGTTCCCGGAAAACTCAGGAGAAACATTTTACTTGAATGCAATGCATGGCAATCAACCCCCACGGCTATCCCCATCGTTACATGTTTCGTCCATCTGCCCGTCCTGTTGACCAAGCCTTCTTTTATTTTCCGCAGCCTCCGGAAAACACGACCGTAACTCAGATTCGCATCACCCGGGGAAATCCTCGAAGACGCCGATCTCGTCGCAGTAGGGCAGCAGGAGGCGCAGGCGTCGCTTGTAAGTGTCGGAGAGCGCGGCGAGGGCGGCGGCGCCACCCTGGCGACACGCGGCGAAGTCGAACTGCTTGCCGGCGTCGGTGAGGATGACGGCCACCCAAGAGGTGGCAACCAGCAGCCCCCAGGCGCGCGCGCGCCGCAGCTCCGCCTGCACGTCCTCGGCCGTCGGCACCCACGCCGCGCCCAGCCGCCGCGCCGCCTCCGCCAGCGCGTCGCTGTACTCCGCCACCAGCCGCGGCCACCGCTCCCGCCACCCCGCCTCCTCCAGGCTCGACATCTGCGAAAGAGGATTAGCGCTCGACTTGGCCAACTCTCCTCTAGGATCGACATCTGCGCATGCAAGGTCACGCGGTCATTCTGACCAAGTCTACTCCAGGCTCGACATCTGTGAAAGCAAGGTCACGCGGGCATTGCGACTAAGTCTCCTCCAGGCTCGAAATCTGCGAAAGCAAGGTTTAGCGTTCGATTTGGCCAACTCTCCTCTAGGATCGACATCTGCGCATGCCAGGTCACGCGGTCATTCTGACCAAGTCTCCTCCAGGCCCGACATCTGTGAAAGCAAGGTCACGTGGTCATTCTGACTACGTCTCCTCCAGGCTCGACATCTGCGAAAGCAAAGTCACGCGGGCATTTTAGCAAACTCTACTCCAGGCTCGACATCTGCACAAGCAAGGTTTAGCGTTCAATTTGGCCAACTCTCCTCCAGGCTAGACATCTGCGCATGCAAGGTTACGCGAACATTCTAACTAACTCTCCTCCAGGCACGACATCTGCGAAAGCAAGGTCACGCGAACATTTTAGCTAACTCTTCTCCAGGCTCGAAATTTGCGAAAGCAAGGTTACGCGTTCGTTTTGCCCAACTCTCCTTCAGGTTTGACATCTGCGCATGCAAGGTTTCGCGGAAATTTTAGCAAACTCACTGACTTTGTCAGTGAAACAATACAGGGAAGTACGAATTCCATCCACATGGCATTCTCCTTGATTGTCATCTGTGAATGCAAGTCAACGCGTTCACTTTTTCTCATTTTATAAGCCAACTGCACATCCCATTAATGGCAAGGATATCCTGCTCGCGCAAGGAGTTATTAATCCTTCTTTAATGAAGTGATAGGGTGATGATGAAGGGTGAAGGTAGGATCACAAATATATCCACGCCCGAGGCGGGATTCAAACTCGCGATCTGATATCACCCCGACACAACCACCTTAGCAATCTCAGCTATCCGCATTGATCGTTCAATGTTTACTAACTCGTAAAGTTTTAAACTGAAATAAAAGGGGAATTAGTACCCCCGCCTCCCACCCGTCAAGGTTTGACATCTGCACTTGGTACATCACTCGCTAATTTTTGCAAACCTTCAAAACTTTTAACTGAAAAAATATGAGGAAGTAATAATCAGTGAGAAGCTTCATCCTTATGACATTATCAATGTTTGTCAACTGTGAATGCCAGTTTGCGCGGATCTGGGCTAAAATGCAAACATCTTAATTAAGAGAACAGGGGAAATCAGCGACAACACCACCCGCCCTCCTTCAGGCTCCACACTCGCAAGTTGTTCCACTAAAAGAAAATGGGAATTCAGCGCTGACGACATTTAATGTTAACCGAGATCGACATTTGCCAATACAAACACTCACCTACTTTTGTAAACTCGCAATTCAACTAGAAAACGATTTATCTGAATGAACATGGAAAGTCAGTGAAAATAAATAAACCACTGAAATGTTTTCTCTTATTGTGTGTCTTTTAACTTTTAACCGTCGTAAATCAAATGATGCATCCTAAAGCCGTAAATAAATATTCAATGAACCATATCAAAAATTAATATAAACATAAATTGTCCTAAATGTATGTTTTTAAAGAGAGATGGTAAACTACCCCACCACAATTCAATGTTATTTAATAACTCAAATTCATTTCGTATTTGTCGCGTTTTTGTCTAACCAAATACTATCCACTGATAAATTATTAAATGTATGAAATTAAAATGAGGCAATTTGTTGTTCAAAAACTAGTAATGATCTATCTCTCAGTATAGTCGTCCACTCTGCCTGTTATCTTTCATCACATCACACACATTGATCATGTTCATCATATCTTATTGCAATCAGTTCCCTACCAGAGAAATGGGGGCGCAATGGGTAAACATTGAAACATTGTCCGAAAACAATGAGGTAACAACCCTCAAAGACATACATTCGATATATTAAAAATGACAGAGAGATTTTTGACGGCTTCTGAATGTGTGATTTGAGGTGTGGGCTGTTGGCTTTGTGCTATTTGTGATCTAATATACATATAACGTGCGAATAATGAGTTAATAATGAAAATTATCATGATATACTTCTTAATGTCTCGCGACGAGACTTCAGTTTACATTATTCTTTACTCTGATCGCCCTCTTCACCATTTCTGTTTACGAGAAAAAGGAAAATATTATTTCTGTCTACATATGGTAATAAAATTACCACATTTCCACTGTATTTTAATTCCCTTCCGATTTAATGCACAGATTTCACCCTCAGTTCTGTCATGGTCGAAATTTATACACAAATGCAAAAATTAATTGTTTTAAACAAACAAAATTAAATTTTCAAGTTCACTTAGTAATTTGATTTCTTAAATAGAGTCGATATTATAAAAAATGTACAGTGCATCTACATGGATATATGTTGAGGAAATGAATGTTCGAGGAAATACCCCATGACAGGGAAACATTACATCGAATGGGTTATAATTTGAATAAAATCCTGTTTAAAAGAACAGGTGAACATTAAAATTAATTGTATATTATGAAGGAATTATGGTCCATAGATACATATATGGGGGTCCATATTATATATATATATATATATATATATATATATATATATATATATATATATATATATATTGATTTACAGAACAGGCTAAATAAGTGGAAAGACGGAAATTAATTCTTTGGATCTAACAATACAAAACATTATTTATTTTAATCTCGACACGAAAATATGACTTGATTTACTCTGTGCTTGGGCAAAATATTTGGAAAAAGAACAATATTCAGAACGAGTTGTGTTCAAATTATGGTAATAAGGTAGTAACAAAATCACTTTACTAGACATGTGGTCAAATCTATCACTAATAAACTGATTCAGGTGTCTAATTTTCAGAAGTTAGGATGTGAAATCACTGGTATAACGTTGGGGTGCACCGCAAGCGAATTACAGCGCGCAAGATTAGAACCCCCTAACTAGATCTGATCAGGGCACAACAGTCGCAAGTTTTTTTTTGTTTTTTTTTCAAAATGCAGAAACACGATGCTGTTTTTCACTTTATCTACTTACTTTCCGTTTTCGCGATTAATATTTCCCACGAAAAACTGTACGTGAGAAATAGATAGACACAATTTATGTTTTTTAATGATAGATTAAACGGCTGCAACAGGCAAACCTAATAGTAATGTAACTGTTCAATGGAAATGTATCAACGCGTAGAAACAGTTGAGGAAAAGCGGTTTATTTGTGTACTATGGACGAGAATATTCAATGATAGTAAGGGACAATTTTATACTGACCGAGGAGCACATCACGTTATGTGATTTTGAACAACTTTGTAAATGTAACAAACGTTCAGTGAGTTGCGATAATTTAAATACGTTCCAAAGAATAAGATGTGAAATACGTCAAGCACTCATGTCGTAGGCCTTCCTTTTGGACATTTCTGTAATTCAATAATTTCTTCTTAATACATAAAACATTTAAAATACATGTTCATTTCAATTGTTATTGAGCATATTATGGATTTCAAAAGAAGAGGCTAAGGTACCTCATGCCATCAACTGATGTCACTGCAGTGCCTCTGACTGGGAGGTTCTAGGATTCGAGCCCCGTCGGTGGCAGGATTTTTCGACATCTAGTAAGATAGATAGGTCGAATTCAGCGCTATCTGAAGGAGAATTCGAACCACCGGCTGTTCTGATCGGTAGTTTTCCACGGTTTCTCCGATAAATACCAAGGAAATGTATAATAATACCTAACAAACAGGCCACGAACCACACGTTTTCTTATCCTCATTCCTTCCTTACACACAAACACTTACATGCACTACACTACCACACATGTCGGGACAACATTCGGGAGCTTATAGCTTCGAGACTGGAGCGGTACCCTGCTGAGTGGAGATAACTGATTGGGGAAAACCTCGCCATCCGACGTGTACAACGGCGCCTGGTCTCGACCCCCAGAGAAGCTAGATTACCACCACTTCGGACGACAAAACATGCACAACACTTACGAAACTAATGATCTTAGCAGATAACGCGCTGAAAGCATTAATCAATCAATACCACGAATGATATTTTTGTTTTACACCTTAACGCTTCCTTCGGATCACCAATTCAAAATAAAGCATTAGCTTATCAGACAAAATGAAACTATGTTCCTCTCCAACCAGAAGAGATTCTGAATTATTATGAATATTCTTCATCACACAAATTTCGTTAAATGTAACCTAATACAACACGCCGTATACATCAACATGTACTTCACACCACCGTTCACTAATGACGAGAGATTTCTGCAATGACTAGTACCTTTAAACTTCAAACTAGTTTATCCTGCATTCCCTGTAAATAGTAAAAAATAATCGGCAAGGTCAACTAGAAAGTTTGTCAGCGGATAACAGTCGACGTCGTCTAGTAAGACTCGACCTACTGCCTGTCTGTTATAAAACAACACTCGCCTAACTGCACTCAGTACTACCTTGACAAATATTGTCTCTGGCGAAATTATGCATACACAAAATACCATTACACTTCACTCTCAAACAATAGCAAAGCACGAAAACAATTATACACAAGAAAGGGAGAGTAAGGAAAACAGCTTAAGTCGTTCAAAATGTCAAAATGATATTAATTAACACAGTTGTCAAGACGCCGTATTCTATGGAAAAAATCGATAACAAGGGACATCATGAAAAGGTTTAATTACTTTAATAATGCAAACAATTAACTTTGGCACAGCTACAAATTCAGTTTTCTTCCACCGTACAGTCCTGTTTGACGCGTGTACGTCTTCTAAACGCGCAAAGGATCTCAGACCGGAAATGTTCGTTTAGGTATGTGGTACTGGGCACACCCTCTATTGGTTTCGTATTTCAATTTTTAGCCGTTTTAAAAAATGTATTGGAAAATTTATAATACAATTTTAATATATTTATTAAGAGTATTAAAAAATCACTATTTAAACCCAATGTTTATAGAGAGCAATGATTACCCAAAATTCTTTCAATCACAACTAGGGGCTAAAAATTTAAAGTCCAAGCTGTAGCGAAATATTTTTGTTAATCGTTTTGTAAAATGTCACCGTAGTTCCATGATGTCATTTTTTCCATTTTTTTATTCTCCTTTGATAAAGAACACGGAAATTGTTCCTAAATTCTGGTACAAGTCATAAATACAGACGATTATAACTGATCATATTATATTAAGTTGATTTCCGCAGCAGCAAGACTTAATGAGTGAGTAATGAATATTTTCCTCTTTGTCGGGTGATGCATACAATTTTATCACCATTTAGGACTGTGGAAAACACATATTTATATCTTCAACCTCCCAACATTAACCGGATTCGGGAGGAGAGTAGAACAGCATCAAACTACCTCACAAGGTCACTGAACGTAATCCACAAGATTTCTATTCTGGGATGACGAAATGAGATTGTCCTACAGATAATGTTTGACAAACAGATATGAATGGCGAGTCACTAAGTGTTCTCGAAGGCAACCACCACAATGCAACACAATAGCAATGTCTATATTAAATCGGCGTTGTTCAGAATTAAGATGTAAACAGGGCGTACAGAATATATTTAAAAGCAACTGTGAATAAGAGATTCAGCGTAATTTTCTTGCGCTTGCAAAATTTCCAAAATACACGATTTCCATTTATCTTCTTTAAATCCCAATACTTCCTTATTGGTACCTACAAGTAAACTGACATATTGAAAATATACACGTGTCCGTCTACGTTCATAAAAGCTGATAGTATGTGAAGGAACACATTAAATAAAGCTGAAAACTTTAGTAACATTATAAGTATATTCCCCATAGTTTCCACACAATCGTATCTTCCAAAATGCTCAAAGCTCTTCAGTCACCGTATTAGTATGAACTTCATTTACGCTTTGCTTATCGCAGCATTTGCGTCCGAATGATGAGTTTAATGGAAAACCTCAAAATATATTCGTTTGAGGACTTTACTAAGGCTTTTATCCACCCAGCCGGTTACCCTTCCTGCACAGATGGGACGCAAATTCGACCATACTCTAGACACCAACATACTCGCGGGCTCCTCGGATCTGGGGTCTGCAGAACACGAGGCCCTTTGAGAGACCAGGAACAAACAGCCATGCCCAAGGTGCGACTCGAACCGATCGTCGGTACACGCTCTTAGCCACCTCGGCCATTCAGATCGGCTTCAAGGAATTGCTCGCAAATTGTTTATAGAACGTACAGTGGGATATACTGCAGAAATGTCGCGCTGCTTCACCATATATTGTGTTATTGGTCCTATTGTCGATCAGTTGTGACTGTAACACTTTCGTTGCAAGTTGGTTTTATGCTCTGAGCTATCTCACACGTCGGACACCGAGCTATACAGCCGTTTTAAGGCTTTATGACAAAATAAGGACAAGTAATCTAAGTATCTTTTTACGATGAGGTTGGTTCTCGGCCAAGGCATATGACCGGACTAGAAAGAAACTATAGAATAAATTATTTTTCCCGGAGATTAATGTAACTCATTGTCAGGGTGTCTAAGAAACATTGTCATTTATTTGTTCGTCGTTTTCAGAAAATAGTTGATCAAAGTTAGAAACTTCGAAAGTGTACTAAAAATGTTTCAAAACATTTTACGAAAACGAAGTACACTACTTTTACAAACTGTTCCGCTTGAAGTTTGTTTCGAGTCCTATAATTTCACAATGCATCAAGTCATAAATAATTGAATATTTTAATACATTGTTTTCAACATTGGAATTTGCTATTTAATTATAATTCTAAACAGTAAAAACAATAGTTATGCTAAAAGAGTAAAAAATATTGAAATTAAATGTACCTTTTTTCCGCCAGAGATCGATATATTGAAATCTTTTACGAAGTATAAGAATACATTGTACAGAAACTTGAATTTAATTGCACAGGATATGTTAGCTTTATTGGGGTATACGTATATTCACCTTCTTACCGGGACACAGACTGTTACCACGGTAGTTTGTATTTTAATAGATAGCACAACGATTACAAATTGATGATGTAGATTGCTTCAGCGTACTCTTAATAACTCGTGTACTTTTGGGCTTTTAACTAGATATAATTCTTATCTTTTCAGTTTTTTTAAATAATATGAAATACTTGCATTATCACATAACAAACAAAAGTCAGGTGGGCTCTATTATCTTAGATTGAGAGTAATTTTTTTGGAAACATTGCTCCCGATCATTACTCAGTCAATGTATAATTATTTAGGATATTTTATTCAGTCTCAGTTGTCATTGAACCACGGAAGAAGGTTGAATATTTGGTGAATATGACAAGCCTTCGAATTACGAATGCTGTGAGTTGTTTGTTTCTTTTTATTGATTTTGTTTACATTATTTTAATCCGCGCGCAAGTCATTTAACGATTTCGTATGTTAAATACAGAAATGAAATTATACAATGTATTTCTTATATAATGCAGTACTGAAAATTAAGAAGTAAATGAAGTCGTTATAGTCACCAAATTATTATTTTAAAGCACCAGGTATAAGAAAGAACCGAATTCAATAAAGAATTTTGAGTAGTAAAATGAGCAGCACTATCGCATTGTACTAATGCATTTTTGAAACTTCTGAATTATTTATGTGAATGACAAACATATTAAAAATTTGGACTAGTTCTTGTTCCTCCACACTTTCAAATCCAGCGTAAATGAGATAATTGTTGCGTAAATAAATACCAACGTTTATGGAAATGATATGTCATTAATTGTATGAAGAAAACAATGGAATGTGTGACTAATTTTAAAGGAGTGTCATCAGCACCTCCACCACTTCATGTCATCCTAACTAGATACATTTTCACTTTAACTCAGAAAAAGAAAAAAAATTATGTCACCGTGCGCCAGAAAACGCAGAGTTTTCGTCAAAAAAAAGAACAAACTATTAAGAGAACGTGTTCGTACCTGGAAGGTGATGAGATCTATCGCCGGAGATCCAACGAAGCACAACTGCAGATCCACGAACCGGCACTCCACTTCTCCCTTGTCCCGCCGGAACATAATGTTGTTGGTCCACAGGTCGCCGTGGTTGAGGACCTTGAACTCTGCCTGCGCCTCGCTGGTCAGGTGCTTCCTTTTCTCGGCGGCCGACTCCGCGATCGCCTCGATCCTGGCGGCGAGGCCCGGCGGCTCGTCCGCCCACGCGCGCGCCACCGCCGCGGCGCTGCGGATGAGCGCGCGGTTCACCCCCCCGAAGTCCTTGGACGGGCTCTGGAACAGGCTCCGGTAGTGCTCCAACAGCCGCGGCTCCCTCTCCAGCAGGACGTGCGTGGCGGCGTGGAAGCGGCCCAGCGCCCGCAGCACCGCCGCGGCGTGCTCGAAGTCCAGCCCGGCGAAGCGGTCGCCCATGCGGAAGCCCTGAGCGACCAGGTCCTCCAGCGTGATCACCTCGTCCGTGGCGGCGGTGAAGAACCGCGCGGACAGCGGCGGCTCCGACAGCCCCGCCGCGCGCAGCAGCTCGTTCACCGCGGGCAGCACCTTCCAGAGAAAAATACGTTCTTGTACACGTCGCAACAAGAACGTGAGGTTATTTAAGGTCGCATCAACCTCTAGGTCATTAGCGACCACTATTTGCGTGTAACGGTATGGTAACTACGAGATTATGATTGAGGTTATTAAAGGTCGCATCAACTACTACGTAATTAGCGACCACTATTGCGTATAACGGTATGGTAACTATGAGGATGACACGAGATGATGATAGGGGTTATTTAAGGTCGCATCAACTACTAAATAGTGGTCATTAGCGACCACTATTGCGTGTAGCGATATGGCAACTATGAGTATAATACGATATGATGATACGGGTTATTTAAGGTCGCATTAACTACTAGGACATTAGCGACCACTGCGTGAAACGATCTGGTCACTATGAGGATGACACGATTTGATGATCGGGGTGTGAAAGGACGAACAGAATACAACCATGCCCGAGGCGGGACTCGAACCCGCGATCCTTCGGTCCGAGATCGCTACGACATTACAGCCTTAGCAATCGCGGCCATCCGTACCGACATGGGGTATTTTTCCGTATCGTAATGAATCGAATTTGCAAAATCGGAGAACAAAAGCTAAAGTAAACAGCACAGACACGAACATTTTGTTTAATAGTTTATATGAGAATGGCGCGTTTCAATTAAGATTTAAAAATATTTTGGAATAAAATACGTTAGAAATTATTCGTTGGACAAGTGTAAGACGGTTTTACATTAATTACGTGGACCGGTACCTTGCCATGAACTTCAGCACTTGTAGCAAAGCGTCACCTACGCGGTTAGTGTGCAGCAAAAACTGTACTTTGAAGTAAAATTTGTTACCTAGACTCATGGGCGTTTAATATTAATTACGTAGGCTGAAGATTATATCATCATAAAATTGGACATGCATTCTTTAACAAAGGGCTCGTGGCTAGCAGTTGGTCAGCGTGTTAGCTTTCCACTACGCGGTCCCGGATTCGATTCCCGGTCGAGCCAAGACTATACTCTGCGTTTTTCTTGCACTGTCCCAGTGTATGTTGCTGTGTGATGACGAGAACATTCACTTCACAAGTTGACAAGACAGAAATACGGCGTGCTAACCACACGTACCCATTAACCCATGGCCGCGAGGCAGGGACGTCGCCGGTAGGCCTGAGCCCGTTCTCGGACTGTCGCGCCAAGAACATACACACATTCTTTAACAAAGTGACAAGTCACCTAAAACGATTGAGGTAATAAATATCGCGTCATACCGTCCGCATACATGTTTGGTCGTTCGCCATGTTCTCGTGAAATTAAGCCGTTTCCTTCACATTCAGTACGACAAGGGAGAAGTGCCAAAATAGAAAAAGAACATATTTGGGAGAAAATGGGGATCTTGTTCCTTAACATGTTAAATCTCTGCCGTCACCAAAGCATCCGAGAACAAAAGCAAAGAAAGAACGACTGGAACAAGGACATTTCTGATTCACAGTTTGAACCGCGTATTGGATTTCCAGACAATGATTTTTAATTGAAATATTCTATTTAATGAGTTATTTGGGAAATACTACATAAAAACATATAGACTGAGAAATCTTATTTGGAAAGGAAAGTTTTTGAAATAATAAAAGTTATTCGTTGGAAGAGATGTCAAGGTTCAGAGTAGAAGGATAGACGTAAGTTAAGAATTGATACAAAGGGATAAAGATCAGTTATTGCAGGAAGATAACGAAAAAATGAGGAATTCAAATAATGGGTTAATAAATCGTTAAAAATTATTCTGGTGGATGATATCCCAGCTCTTTAAAAGGTAAATGTAAGAAAAATGACAGACATAGGATAGCAAGTATATGTTAGGTAATGAATTGAGAGCGAGTAAATATTGGCTTCATAGATAAGGAAAACATGTGGGATCTGTGAAACGGAAGAGGAAAATTGGGAACATGTTTTAGAGATATGTCAGTTTTTGAGGAAGAAAGAATGTGGGCAAGGTGCTATATTCAGGATACTGTGTGGTGTTTATTAGGATCAGTGTGTTTGGTAAATACAAGAAAGGGCTTAGTATATAGCGTATTATTGTGTTCTTAGTATGTATTGTATATATTATGAATATATATTATTTAACTGTATTTTTACAAAGATGTATTTGTTTTAAAATATTTCCTTTTCGAAAATAATATGTTCAATTTCAGATTTTCTGTTCTTTAGTCAAACAATTTGGGAAATTATTTTACGTTTTGGGAAGAGGTTCTCCAAGCTTTCTTGAAACCTTTGCAGGGTTCAAATAAAATCGAAAATATTTTTTGTCATTAAAGTTATAATTTCATCATCTGGCCCAGTGGCTCCAATTGCAGCGATGAGTAGGAAGGTTATTGCTCCAATTATTTTTATTAAACTTTGTCCTCGCATAACGTAAAGGACGCTCAAAATAATAGTGCAAGTCTCATGTTCGTTAGAATCTCAGACTTTTCGAAAATTGCAAATGTGCAATTGTTTCGGAGCATCTTCCTACAACTACAATATTGAAAATAGAGATGTGTTTCCTCAATGAAATCTGTTGTTTATATCATATCTTGAAATAAGGGTATATTTAATTTTTCGAAAATATGGGTAGTTTTCCATTTTGCGCGAAATAGAGGTAATTTTAATTCTTTAACATTTTTTTATCAAAAACGATTCCCAATTTTTCCTTTAAATTTTCCCCTCGTATGTATCAAAAGACGGTAAAAATTTGTTGTGCTAGTCCTATTTTTAGCTATCTCTGCCTACTTTCGAAAATTGCAAAAAGTTAACAATCCAAAACAACAAGATTGAAGATTAAGCTTTCCCCTTGCAGATACACATGAAATTGCAAAACGTGAACATTTCAAAACTACAAAATTGAAGACAAAGTTTTTTTCTTAGTCAAAGTCTATGGTAAAACAGGCTCTTTCAAAATGATCCTGTACATTTTTTGAAGAAACGAGTAGATTTCAAAAATTCGTGCCTAAAATTTATGCAATTTCTAAAAAAAAGTAGTTTGTCAAAAACCACTCCAAAATGTTTATTTCACTTTTCTCCTCGATTGTATCAAGCAGGGTAAAAATGGTACAAGTCCTATTTTCGGGAAACTCTCCATATTTTCGAAAATTGCAAAATTGGCAAAAACTTGACATTTCAAAACTACACGTCCGAGTTCCAGACTAACTGCGTTTCGATAGCGTTGATGTAAGGCTAACGGCGAGAATACTCGTAGGACCTCAGTTCGAGTCCTGGTGAAGAAAATTTTTCTGAAAACATGTATGTAGGTTTATGTAGTAGTGGTATAATTTTGCAGTGCCCTTAGAAATAATGCGATGATGTGCTGTCGTAGCTCCATTAGTTTTTCTATTTCTCGATAGTGTCGTAATATTGTATGATTTAATTATCTTGATTAATTATTAAATCGTGGTCTAAATGATTTAAAACGCCCCGATACTGTTAGCTTCCATGCCGTTTATTATGCGGTTCATTTATAATTTACTCTGAATTCTACAAGTTTCAGATTTGAGTTCAATTGATAACGATCGATTTTAAGTTTCACCTACAGACATTCAGGTCTGGTTAATTCAGTTTAGAGAATAGAAACATCAAGAGATTTAAACCTATTTGTTTACACACAATGAAAGGTAGAGAAACAATGGAAATCAGAGGATGTAAATAGAAAAAAGATAAAGAACGGAGTAAAGAAAGATGGAAAGGCTGGCTGGGGCCAAAGTAATAAACGGTAACGGAAAGAGAAATGAAAAGTGAATATGAGAAGAAACAGAAGACAGAAGAAACTACAGAAGAAACACTCCCTCCGTAGGATCGGTTTGCAACACTCACATTGATGTTTTGTCTCAAAAAGTGTACGTGATGGCTAGACAAGGATTATCATATAAATATATAAATCACAATTTATTATTTTATAATTGTTCGAAAATTTCATGAATATTGAAGCCCTCATTCTATTAGAAGCACAACATAAAAGAAGAAGAAGAAGAAGAAGAAGAAGAAGAAGAAGTGGAAGAAGAAGAAGTGGAAGAAGTAGAAGAAAAAGTAGAAGAAGTAGAAGAAGTATATGTAGAAGAAGTAGAAGAAGTAGATGTAGAAGAAGAAGAAGAAGTAGAAGAAGAAGAAGAAGAAGAAGAAGAAGTAGAAGTAGAAGTAGAAGTAGAAGAAGAAGAAGAAGAAGACGAATAAAAGGCGAGTGCAAATGAATATTAGTGTGTGAAGTCACTAGTGTCTAACGAGGTACAACCAAAAAGTAATAACTTCATCGAAATGAATTCTTCGCCATCAGAGCAGTATTTTCCTGCTCCGATAACCAAGCCGAACGCAACCCAGAGGTCTACAGTGCGTCAGCTCAGGGCTACCCAAGCGCAGCCCGACGTACCTTCTTGTACATGCTGACTTCGGTCTGGAACTCGCCCTTCTCGCGCACCATGGCCAGGATGACCTTGTCCTCGGGCATGCACTTGACGAGCAGCGACACGGGCCGCTCCTGGCCGCGCACCACGGCCTCCACGCGGTACATGCGGCTGCAGTAGTGGTCGCCAACGGCGGTGGCGTAGGAGGTGTCGACGCGGGCGACGCGCGCCAGCGGCTGCCCCGAGCGCCGCAGCGCCGCCTCCACGAACGCCGCGTCCAGCCACGACGGCGGCGGCGACCGGCCCTCGCGGTTGCGGCCCGTGTTGCGGCTCTCGGGCATCGTCTCCCTGCGCACGCGGCGCGCCGTCAGCCCTACGAACCAAATGCCTCAATCCCTCCAAATTAAATGCCTCAATCCCTCCAAATTAAATTCCTCAATCCCTCCAAATTAAATGCCTCAATCCATCCCAATTAAATGCCCTCAATCCTTCTGACTCAATTGCATAAATGCTCAATCCCTCCCAATTAAATGACTCAAATCCTCCAATTAAATGACTCAATCCAATCCCAATTAAACTCAATCCCTCCCAATTAAATGACTCAATCCCTCCCAATTAAATGACTCAATCCCTCCCAATTAAATGACTCAATCCCTCCAATTAATGACCTCAATCCTCCCATTAATGCCCAACCTCATTAAATGCTCAACCCTCCCAATTAAAGTTGCCTCAATCCCTCCAATTAAATGCCTCAATCCCTCCCAATTAAGTGCCTGCAATCCCTTTCCCAATTAAATGCCTCAATCCCTCCCAATTAAATGCCTCAATCCCTCCCATTATATGTCTCATATCCCTCCCAATTAATGCCTCAATCCCTCCCAATTAAATGCCTCAATCCCTCCCAATTAAATGCTCAATCCCTCCCAATTAAATGCCTCAATCCCTCCCAATTAAATGGCTCAATCCCTCCCAATTAAATGCCTCAATCCCTCCCAATTTAATCTTCAATCCTCCCAATTAAAGTGCCGTCAATCCTCTCCAATTAATGCCTCAATCCCTCCCAATTAAATGCCTCAATCCCTCCCAATTAAATGATTCAATCCCTCCAAATAAAATGTCTTAACACCTCCAAATTAAATGCCTCAATCCTCTAAGTAAAACGTCTTGATCCTCCAAACAAAATGCCTCAATCCTCCAAATAAAACGTCTTGATCCTCCAAATAAAATGATTAATTCCCTCAAAAGAAAATGCCCAACCCCTCCAAAACAAATGCCTCAATCCCTCCAAATAAAATGCCTCAATCCCTCAAAATTTGTAAATTGAGGATTTGTGGCCGTTCATTTTATCCTCAATGATCACAAATCCTCAACATCCAAAGTCATCAACATGCACAAATTCTCCAAATCCGCAAATTCCCCAAATTCGCAAATCATAAACATCCGATGTTTTTCAGTCGCTATTATTCTCAAAATTTCACGAAGGCCGGTTACATACAGTGTCCGGGGAGGAAACGCCGAGACTTAGGAAACAAACTCTTAAAATTTTTAGCATATTTTGTCTAATAAACTACTTTGATATTCCGAATGACTGAGCCGCAATACGCACTCAAAAGTTGGTTTAAAAAATGCTTTCTAGGCACAAATTTGTATTGCAGAAGCATATAAAGACTCTCGAAACATGAAAAGTGTATATTATTTACAAAAGAAATTAATATATTTGTTAAGAGAAAAATGAACACAGCAATAAAAAAGAGCAGTCGAATGGTGTAAATTGAGTGTCTTTTCAATTCATACTTCTCGATATCAATTGATCCTAGAACTCTTTTTGCCATATTCATGATCGAAGTATCCAGCTTCCAGGGAACTAGAGTACTGTAAACGAAAGTTGATGAATATTTCCAAAACCTTGTTTTCTTTTTCGACCATTGATTTATAGGAGACAAACTGAATCCAAATCGATTCCAAGCGATTGTAAAGATTAAGAACCTAATGTCTCTGTATTCGAAACTGGGCGTGAGAAATTATTTTGTACAGGTGTTATACAATCTTCGCGAATTTTAAAGACTGTATTCTTTACACAAGTTTCCAGTAAGTCAAAATAAACAATTTGTTTGGCATAATAACATACATTTTCACTTTGTCTTTTGATTAGAATAATTATAAATTATTCTAAAATAACTCATAATTTACACGGCTCATTTTAAAAACTACATCACTCCTGGCGGTCACAAAATATACCAGAAACCAGTTTATCGATATACATATACGGAAGTTGTATCAAGTTTTGGTACTAGATAATTTCATCTTTTCAGTCTGCTTATATTTAACTATATTTTCGGTTTTTTTATTTCCTGTCAACCTTTTCTCAACTGCCACCTTTTGACGCCTAAAGGACACTTTTTCAAACTTTCGGTCTCCTAAAGGTAAAAGTGAAACATAACTAATGTTATTAGAGAAGAGTAAAACACTATTAGCAAATTTTTGTAAAAAAATTTGAAGCCGTTTTTGAGAAAATGTCGTTTGTGAGTTCTTGAAAATACGCAATTTGAATGTCATTTTCACTCCAAAATTTTGATTTTTCGAGAAACTTTAAAATGAGTTATTTGAAACAATTAAAACACCCGAAATATAAAATTAACGAAGGGAAAGATATTTTAAAAAATGCACAAGAATACAACACAGTTGCATTCATGTCATCTTGTACATCTTGTACCACTATCCAAAGAACACATTGGAAGCCGTTTTCGAAAAGAGCTAGTTTGCAAAAAAATCTCAATTTGGCGCTGATTTTCACAGAAAACATTGGAGTTTAGGAGAAACTTTAAGCAACATCGTTTAAAACACTTGTTTTCACACACCCAATAATGTACAAAAATCGCCACTAGTGCGAAAGATATAAAAAAATACGAAAAATGCGAAAGATGTATAAAAATAAAATTTGAAAAAACAAAAGATTACAGCGAAAAAACCTTTCTGTCATCTGTTACAGTGAATTTAGCGTTATCCCTACAAAACGTTGAAAATAAAAATTAGATCCCTTTTTGAGAAAATCTCGTTTTAATATTTTTAATATTACCCGAATTTTACTCACAATTGCAAATAGTTTCGAAAAATCTTCATGAGGTTATTAAATAACTAATTATGAAGACTAAATGTCATTTGAAGAAAAAATCCTATTTTCAATATTGTAATTGTAGGAAGACGCTTGTTTTAATAATTTCCAAAAATTCATAATTAACAGTGAAATTGAACCTATGCTGTATTATAGTCAATGTACTTCAGTATATTCTTATAAGAAATTCAAAGAAAAAAGATTAAGCTTTTTTAAGACAAGTTTGAAAATGTCCCAGAAACTTAATGTAAAAAACATAATTTAAAGAACGATTTTCAAAATCGCAAATTTTTAGGAGGTCGGCTTAATATTCATCTTGCAAAAGAATCGTACGAATATTTTTGACTCTAGTGGTGTTCACAGAAGGACATACGGATGGACGGGCAGATGGACGGACACATGGATAGACGAACACACAGACAGACAGGCAAACGGACGGACGGACGTTTTGAAAAAAAACATTTTTACGGTATCATGTAAACCTAAAACGTGTATGTTCACTTACTGTAAAACCTATTTAAATCTCAAAATTAATTTTTTGAAATTTTAAATAACTTTTTCTGTACTTGGTATATTACTAGGTATATAGGTATACGTATACGGGAAATTAAAATTTACCATACACTTCAAAAGTTTGGTAAATAACAGGTATTTCTGAATGCAAAATGTAAAATTGTTCTACGAATGCGGAAGAGAGGACTTACGATGTAACACTGTGACGATTAACTTATCGTGAGGAAATTACGTAATGAAATCGTGGGGAAGGCTAGACTAATTTAATGAGTATAAATCCGCTTCCTATCAAATTAAATGGTGTGGTGAACTTTTAATTTTCACCCTCAGTAGTTCAGATTAAAATCGAATGAGTTCTGGTGTTCCAACTTTATTCTTGGTCTGATAAACTGATGTTTCGTTGAACCGGAATCTACTGTATATCATCTTCAAAAATCGTTATTTTAAACGTTTACAGGAAAGTTTGAGTAGACATTAAGGCTGAATTCTGACAAACGACTCGTTGAAAAAACAAAGACCCAAAGCAAGATCAATAAGTCAAAAAAGTGAGTCAGTTGGAAAGTAAGACGTCAATCAAACGTTCACAGAGTCGATACGATCTGATAGACAGAAATACAGAATGTCGGTCAGATAGACGTACAGATTGGTCGATTAGAGAGACAGAGACGATCAGGTAGACGGTCAGATAGACGAGCAGGCCGCCGATCAAGCAGACTATCAAGAAGACGTCAGCCAAATTTTGAGGCAAACTGTCAAATAGGCGGTTGGTTGTTTTAAAAAACATTTTTTTTCTATATTGCAGGTCGTGTATTTTCCTTAAAATTTCGACATTATTTTTCGGAGTAATACATATCCTTCTCTATACTGTATATGTAAATATAGACTTCATATATACGTATGTATACGATAAAATAAGTGTGGCTGTTCCAAAACAAAGCTCCACACGTTCTAATATTTTTAAATCTATCAAAATGCATCGTAAATACCAATATATTTAATGTGTTATAATAGTTATTAGAAACCTTTTCGGCTTTGCGCGCAACAAAAATACTGGAGTCCAACCTTTACAAAACCAACGGTCACAAAATTTGAACGGTCTGATTGACACTGAACTAAACAATTAGTTTTTACCAGGTACTGTGCATGATAAAATATTCCAATATTATTCTAGATTTTTATTAACAAACAGAAAGACTTGAATCCAGGTGATTCATTGAGTCTTTACACTGAGTTACGGAGTTTGGATGCCCATTTCTCATCCATAAAAACAATATTTTACAACCAAACACTTTTAATATCAACGCTAGTTTGACTGAAAGTGACCTGCGAGGCTCTAACGTGCGCAAGTTACCCACGAAGACCAACAACCCTGGCAAGAACCATTCGGCCCTCGCTCACGTGACCTGGCTTGAGGCTTCGCTCCTAACCTAACCTTGTTCATGAGAGTTTTCCCTCTCTCGATAGCATCATCTAGTTTAAAGGCAATGTCAGTATACTAGGGTTCCCCCAAATCCCTGAACTTCCACAATCACTACAACAGATCTGCAACTGAATAATGTAATAAATCATATGAAATTATCTTATTTACAGTTAGTGTAAAAAGTGAATAGACGCATGTTCTCTTCACGCAATAATAAATCTGATTTGAGTTTTATGTGTCGGAAAATGAAGAGAAAAAAATTATTATAACTTGTTTGCTTTCTTCTTTTACCAAAAGCATCAT